CCGCTTACACTACTACTACCACCACTACTACACAACCGCTTACACTACTACTATCACCACTACTACACAACCGCTTACACTACTACTATCACCACTACTACACAACCGCTTACACTACTACTACCACCACTACTACACAACTGCTTACACTACTACTACCACCACTACTACACAACCGCTTACACTACTACTACCACCACTACTACACAACCAGCTAACACTACTACCACCACTACTACACAACCGCTTACACTACTATCACCACTACTACACAACCGCTTACACTACTACTACCACCACTACTACACAACTGCTTACACTACTACTACCACCACTACTACACAACCGCTTACACTACTATCACCACTACTACACAACCGCTAACACTAATACTACCACCACTACTACACAACCAGCTAACACTACTACTATCACCACTACTACTACCACCGCTACTACACAACCGCTTACACTACTACTACCACGCGTACACCCCCCCCACTCTTCCTCTAAAGGTGGACACTTGTCTTTGTCTCTAAGGGTGGACGAACCTCCGACAGAGTTCGATGCTGAAGCCGAACTGAAGGCTCTTCAGGCCTCGCTGAAGCAGGTTCAGACCGATAACCTGGGTGAGTCTCCGCGTGAACGTCTTTATGTCCTCAGCAGTGAGCACAAGCTCATCACTAGTTATTGATCGGTTCATTCTTGCTGTGTTTTCAGAAGTCAAAGAGAGACTGGAGTCCGCTGAGCGGGAGCTGAAGGCCACGAGAGGTCGGTCACTTTCTGCGCTGCAGCGCAAGCTAGATGAAGTCTGTGATTTGTGGTTGGGTTGACGTCATTGGTCCGTTGGTTGGATTGGAGGCAGGATTAATGCGTTGGTTTCGCCTCAGATGTACCAAAGGTGGCCTTTGCTGTTTCTCTGGGAGGAAACGGTCTCCAGGAGGCCACAACAGGAAGAAAAACTCTCATCTACAAAGACGTCATGACCAACATTGGACAGGCCTACAGTTCTGAGACGGGTCAGTGCCTCAAACTATTAATTATGTCATATTTATTAGAGTATTCCCAGTGTTTCCCCACCGGGGGCAGACAGATAGCCTGACCAACAGCTAGTGGAAACACTGATTAAACTATTAAAATATTATTGGTGTAAATAATTTATTAGAGCATTATTTATTTATTAGAATAAAGACCTCCACTGGCTCCCCGTCTCCCACCGGATCGCCTACAAAATCTTGACCCTCACCTACAAAGCCCTCCACCAACTTGCACCTCCCTATCTCTCTGAACTCCTTTCCCCCTACCAACCTCATCGGTCCCTCAGATCCACCTCGGCCAGACTACTTCTCACCCCCACATCCAAACTCAGCTTTGGGGACAGAGCGTTCTCCAGGGCAGCTCCCGAGCTCTGGGCCTCACTCCCCATCCTCACCAGAGACTCCGACTCCATCACCACATTCCAGTCCCGCCTCAGAACACATCTGTTCTCATCTGCTTACCCGTAGCCCCCTCCCTCCCCCTCCCCTTCAGTCTATGTAGTTGTAAGCGATCGGCCCGTATATGTCGCCCCTCGTGTCTCGTCTCCTGCCTGTCTGCCTCACACCGTCCCCCCTTCGACTATGTTAAAGCGTCTTTGAGACATTTAGAAAAGCGCTATATAAAACCAATTATTATTATTATTATTACTTATTAGAATATATTGTATCAGAACATTACATGTCTTTTAGCTTTCAATAAGTGCTTTTCAACCATAAGGACCAAAAGAACAAAAAAGTGCAATTTCATCAAATAAGCTGATTTACAACTTGCTATAGATAAGAACCATTATAAGTCAAATTTAAGTGCTACAGTTTGTGTAGTCGTTTTTTGCCTTTAGTTAGTGGCGGAAGATGAGAAGAGTCTCTGCGGTCCTGATGTCATCAGAGAGCTCATTCCACATTATTGATCAGAAGGTTGATGGGTTGAGTCACTCTTCCAGTAAAATACATACTAAGATATTTATTAATCTTAAGGGACATTCAGATCAGATTGTTGACACCTTAAGGTGTAAATCATGATTCTAAGATGCAAGTTGAATAACAGGAAATATAACAGTTGTTCTGTATGTGTCCTCCTCCTCCAGGAGAATTCACTGCACCGATCCGTGGAGTCTACTACGTCCGCTTCACCGCCAACGCCCCCACCAACTTCCCCATGAGCGCCGTGCTCTACAAGAACGGCGCCGAGGTCCAGCTGATCGCCCACGAGCAGCCATCCGGAGAAGGCAGTGACACGGCGTCCAACGGCGCCGCCCTGCTGCTGCAGGCCGGAGACAAGCTGAAGATGATGCTGTGGCACAACACGCACATCTGGGACAACAGCAACCACCACAGCACCTTCAGCGGCTTCCTGCTGTTCCCCCTGTGAGGAAGGATCCGCCTGCATGTTTTCTTTTGCTCCAATGGCCTTTTGAGGCAAATTTGTGTTTTGGGGTTATACAAAATAAAATGATTTAAATGAAATTGAAGCCTGTAGAACAGGGGTGCTCAATACGTCGATCGCGATCGACCAGTTAATCTCAAAGGCAGCACCAGTTGATACGTGCCATCGATAAAAACTGACGTCACGTCACGCATGCGCCGTCTACCGCAGGAGATGACTGAAATGAATGCTAATGCTAATTGACGCATTTCATTTCATTCCAAAGCAACCCGGGCTGACTCCTGTAAGGCAATGACCAAGAATGTGCCGAGTGCTCGTGATGTTTCAAGGTTATTATGGTTTTGAATTTTTCACTAGTTTTTTTTAAATTTAGTTTGGACTTTTTGTTTTCAATTTCAGTTTAGTTTTAATTAGCTTTTGAAGCGTGTTTGCTAGTTTAATTTAGTTTTGATTAGTTTCAGTATTAGTTTTACCGTCTTTACCGCAGAATGTAACAGACGGGGGGGGGGGCGCAGTCAGGGAAGCTTCATTTTTTGCTTGCAAAACATAATGCTCACAATGAATTGTAGATACAAGCTATAATAAGTGATAAAAACAACACAACATACCATTTTAAAAAATGTATTTAGGACAGATGAACAGCCATCCGCAAGAGACAACTATGGAATATGTGTCAGTGTGTTTGTGTCATTAACCAGAAAAATTCCACTGGACACAAAAATATCAACAACAGAACATAAAATGTAGATATGGGTGCAAATATGTAAACAGTCTACAGAAGATGCAACAGCCAATAGACTAAAGACACACGTGAACAGCATGTTCTAAACCCATTAATGAGCCACACAGGACATTGCCTGGGAGCCGGGAGTCTCAGGGAGCTCAATCTGAAAGAAATTTTTTTTTAATAGTTTGAAATTAATATAAAATATTTATGATGCGGCACATTAGGTATGTGAAACATTGATGAAGCACAAACAATTTAAACGGACAGATTAATAAAACAATAAGGCTCTCGCTCCAAACGGCTGCTCTTGTCCGCCTGTCGTTGTTCAACAAACGCGGCGCCCTCTTGTGGTATTAACGTCAATATACCGCGTTGTCCGCACTCCAAGGCTTAAAAGGCTTTAATTTCCTCAAAAAACGAGAGCGACTTATAATCCGGAGCGCCTTATATACACGGATCAATTGGTTGATCGGTTGATCCGTACTGGTTGTTCACTCTGCCAAACACGCCAAAGCTCGTCTACGACGGCGAGATGCTGAGCGAGATACGGAGCTGCTTTCAGGGCGCGTCGGAGAAACAAAGTCGTTCTCGCCGAGCGCTTCATGACATTAAAGAGCGAGAGACGGCGCCCTTTTCTCTACAGTAGCTGAACCATCTTAACGGGGAACATAAGTTATTCTAAAAGCAGCCGAAGATTTAAGGCGTGGATGGCGAGGGGGGCGGCGGGAGCGGACGCACCTCGCGGCATCGATCGGACCCTGAACGCACCGTCTCCACCTCCCTGTCAGAAAGAACCACAGCGAGCGCGTAGAAAACTCCTTCCAGCAGCAGAGATTCTCCTCGCGAGCAACGAAGCTCACGTTTCGCAAGCGAGCAAATACCTCGAGGAGACGGACTTTTGCTCGCGGATGTTTGATTTTGGTTAAATTCTTAAGGTCATTTAATATTATGTTTTGATCAGAGTTGTGATTAAAGGTTTGATTGGCCGCGGAAGATTTTCAGATTTCAAACTGGGCCGCGGCGTTCTCGAGTTTGGGAACCGCTGCTCTATAGCATTGACAAAGACGTAAACTAAAGACATTTTCTCTATAATTCTATTTTATTTTAGTTAGTTTTGTAAAGACACAATACAGTTTCAGTTAGTTATCGTTTTTTTTATAAAGGCTCGTTTTTATTTTTATTTCAGTTAACGGAAAAAAAAATCACACCTCGTTTTCATTTTTCCGTTAGTTTTCGTTAGCGATAATAACCTAACGACGGTTTCCTCCTTCTGACAGATGAGAGGCTCGTTGTTTTCGTCATATCGACTCGTTCTGCGCTAAAACTGACTGGGATGCTGTTGGAACAGATTCCGGAGCAGTTGCTTGATTGCGAACTAATCAGCTCGGTCCGTCTATTAAATATACAAAAACAAATTTCTCTTTGTAGGTCTCCCTTTATTCAGTCAAATTTCCACCACAAAGCCTCTGTCTGTCCAGAGGACCTGAACACAACATGTCCACGTCTGATATATTAGTAATAGATATATATGTGAAGACTTGTGATGCGTTGAGTCCACACACACACACACACACACACACACACACACACACACACACACACACACACACCAGTGGTAACTGAGTCTACAACACACAGGCTCACCACAACGGACAATAGAAGATTGGACAATCGTTTCCTGATGAGTCTCGTTCCAGCTGAACATCCAGATGGTCGGTCAGAATGTGGAGTAAACCACATGAAAGCCTGGATCCATCCTGCCTCGTACCAACGCTTCAGGCTGCTGCTGGTGGGATTGGGGGGGGGCATTTTCTTGGCTCACTTTGGGCCCCTTGGTACCCATCGAGCGTGGTTTGAATGTGTTTGTTGCTGACCATGTCCATCCCTTTAGGACCACAGTGTCCCATCTGAAGATGGACCATGTCACAAAGCTCATATGATCTCAAAGATGACGATGACTTCAATGTACTTCAATGGCCTCTATGTCTCCACATCTCCATCCAGTGGAGCCCCTTTGGGACGTGCTGGAACGGGAGATTCATCATAGACGTGCAGCCGACAAACCTGCAGTCAATATGGATCTGTGAGGAACGTTTCCAACACCTTGTTGATTTAAAAAAAATATTTGCAGTTTATTGCATGACATGAGTATCACCTACCAACCAGTAAGAATCCGGGCTCTCACAGACCAGCTGGTTTGTTTTTAGGAAACCCTCCTGTTCTCCACTCATTACTGTATTAACTGCACCTGTTTGAACTTGTTACCTGTATAAAAGACACCTGTCCACACACTCAATCAAGCAAACTCCAACCTCTCCACAATGGCCAAGTCCAGAGAGCTGTGTAAGGACGTCAGGGATGAAGTCATAGACCTGCACAACGCTGGGATGGACTAGAGGACAACAGGCAAGCAGCTTGGTGAGAAGAACAACTGTTGGCGCAAGTATTAGAAAATGGAAGAAGTTCAAGATGACGGTCAATCTAGCTCGGTCTGGGGCTCCATGCAAGATCTCACCCTGTGGGGCATCAATGATCATGAGGAAGGTGAGGGATCAGCCCAAAACTACACGGCAGGACTTGGTCAATGACCTGGAGAGAGCTGGGACCACCGTCTCAAAGAAAAACATTAGTAAGACACTAACGCCGTCATGGATTACAATCCTGCAGCGCACACAAGGTCCCCCTGCTCCGGCCAGCGCATGTCCAGGCCCGTCTGAAGTTTGCCAATGACCATCTGGATGATCCAGAGGAGGTATGGGAGAAGGTCATGTGGTCTGATGAGACGAAAATAGAGCGTTTTGGTCTAAACTCCACTTGCAGTGTTCGGAAGAAGAAGGATGAGTACAATAACCAAGAACAGCATCCCAACCGAGAAGCATGGAGGTGGACACATCATTCTTTGGGGATGCTTTTCTGCAAAGGGGACCGGCCGACTGCACCGTATTGAGGGGAGGATGGATGGGGCCATGTATCGCCAGATTTGGGCCAACAACCTCCTTCCCTCAGTAAGAGCATTGAAGATGGGTCGTGGCTCCGTAAGAAGCATCTCGCGGTCCTGGAGTGGCCTCGCCCGTCGCCACACCTGAAGCCAATAGAAACTCTTTGGAGGGAGCTCAAAGTCTGTGTTGCCCCAAAACCTGAAGGATCTGGAGAAAGTCTTTTCGGAGGAGTGGGCCAAAATCCCTTCTGCAGTGTGTGCAAACCTGGTCAACAACTACAGGAAATGGAAAGAAATGCCTGTAATTGCAAACAAAGGTTTCGGTACCAAACTAAAATTAAAATGAATTAATTCCAACCAGGTTTGGCTTTTCTCATGTATCAAATACGTATGTCATGCAATAAACTGCAATATGTTTTAACTCATACAATGTGATTTCCTGTATTTTTTATTTAGATTCTGTCACTCAGAGTTGAAGAGACTCCTACATGCTTTGTAAGTGGGAAAACCTGCAAAATCGGCTCCCGAAAATGTTCTCCCCACTGTGTATGTGTATATATATATATATATATATATATATATATATATATATATTAGGGCTGTCAAAGTATAGAAAAGAGAAAGAGCTCACAGCTGCTTCCACACACGTGTCTTACCCACAGTTTATTGATTATAATTATATAGGATTTAACAGCGAAACTCAAAATTTGTGTTTTTTGGAGAATGTAGATGGTGTGTGTACCAGATGTGTGTACCAGATGTGTGTACCAGATGTGTGTACCAGATGTGTGTGACGGACCCTGTCTGATGAACAGTTTAGAACATTTAACTATTTTACTCTGGTTCTTTATGGTTTTCACTTTACTTGTTTCCTCGTTCACGTTCTTTTAGAAACTAATGAAGCTGATTTGACTTTCAAACTGACATCAGATCAGAAAGCAAAGTGGACGTCACCTGACCGGAGGTCACTTCTGACCACGTCACTATGTGTACTCTCCTTCTGCTGCTCCTCCTCCCCCTCCACCTCGTCACCTCCTCCTTCTGCTGCTCCACCTCCTCCCCCTCCACCTCTTCACCTCCTTCTTCTACTGCTCCTTCTCCTCCACCTCTTCACCTCCTCCTTCTACTGCTCCTCCTCCCTCTCCACCTCTTCACCTCCTCCTTCTGCTGCTCCTCCTCCTCCCCCTCCACCTCGTCACCTCCTCCTTCTGCTGCTCCTCCTCCTCCCCCTCCACCTCGTCACCTCCTCCTTCTACTGCTCCTTCTCCTCCACCTCTTCACCTCCTCCTTCTACTGCTCCTCCTCCACCTCCCCCTCCACCTCTTCACCTCCTCCTTCTACTCCCCCTAACTGCCCCCTCCACCTCTTAACCCTCCTCC